ACTTAATAAATGTTTTCTATTATCATCATTATGAATAATAATTATTATTATCAATAAAAGGGAAAAATAGGAATTAGATTCTCTGATTCTTCTGATCCTTATTCTATAATGAGTGAAGAATTCACTGATCTGTGGTCAATTGAGTTACTTTAGAGAAGCCTGAGTGCACTCATCCAAGCACTCATTTTCCCCTTCCAACTCCTCTCACATCTTTTATCAATATTTAGTATGCCTTGAACTGGAGCTTCCAGCCAAGTTGTTCATCTTATGATGCTCATGCTGAAAAATACTACTACGGAGTTCCTTAAAAGGAGTAACCTGTGTCATCATTAAAGAACACAATAAGTTATTTTATGAGAAAAAACATCTAGTTATTGGYGAGTTTATTTGAGTGTCCTTTGAGCAGGCTGACTAGATTACTGTTTGGAGTAAGACACTTTTAAATGTCTTCTTTAAGTGAATTTAATTCATTTGCTGCTGCAAATGGAATTATTTCCTTGTTGAATTGGGGAATTTGAATTAGTTCCAGTACTTAGAAACAACTGATTTTTATTTGTGACTCTTGAACACTGTAATATTTATGAATAAATTTAACAACTAATAAATTTTTGTGCATTCTTTAAGAGCTTTTTATATAAGATTATATCACCTAAAAATAGCTTTAATTTTATCTCTTTCCAATTAGATGCCTTTTACTTATTTTTTCTTGACCTATCGCTCTGGATAGAACTAGTAGTACAGTTTTTAATAGAAGGGGTAAAAACAGGAATATTTGCTTTGTATCCAATCTTATGTAGAATTTTCTCAGCCTTTCACATTTGAATATAACATCAGCTTTATAAGTATTCTTTATAAATATTCTTTATAGCTTGTGGCAGTTCATTTCATTTCTAGTTTTCTGAGTGCTTTTACCATGAAAGAGTGCAAAATGTTGGTAAATACTTATTCTGGATTAATAAGATGCTCATGAGATTTTTCTCTTCATTATGTTTATTTTATTTTTTTTATATTGATTGATTTTCATATATTGAAACCTCTTTCCAATCCTGGAATAAATCCTCTATGGTAATAGTTTATAATTAGGTTAATATGCTTATAGATCTGGTTTGTTAGCATTTTCTTACTTTTGCTGTAGGTAATATTCAAGAGGGGATAGTAGTCTGGTTTCATTTCTTGATGTTTTTGTCTGTCTTTTCTTCCTCCTTCTTTGTAAAATAAAGATTATAAAGTGTCGTCTCCCACATAGTCCACAGAATTTTGTTTTTAAGTAGCAAATAAAGAAAAGTACATAAAACAACTTGCTAACAGGTTACGATTTTGAGGTTACTCAGTGCAATTTTTGGATGTTTTCTTAATGATGGTAATGCTGACTTCACAGAATGAGTTAGAAAGTGTTTCTTAGTATTACATATGTTCAAAAAATGTCTTTAGGGAAATATAAAGTCAGTTTTATTTGAAATCACCAAACAGTGGAAGGGACACAAATATTCATTAACAGAAAAATGAAAACAGAAGATATAAAGTGCATATGATAGAGTATAATTTCACAATAAAAAGATATCACACACATACAGGTATCAATGAAAATAAATCTCAAATGCATTTTTTTCTAAATTCAAGATGCCAGAACAAAAGACATATTCTGAGATTCTAGTTATAAAAAATTACTGCAAATCTAAAATTATATGGACAAAAAGAGCTGAGAGCTTAGTGCTTGCTAGGTGCCAAGGCTGGGAGATGGGCGTGATCACAAATAAACTTGAGAAAAATTTATTACAAAAGGAATCAGGGTAGTGGTAACATGGATATGCATTGGACTACACTTTTAGAGCCATGTACTAAACAATGCACACATTACTATTTGTAAATTGCGCATTAATTAGAAGTGAAAAAAGAAATGACAAGTACCAATAAAAAAGAAAAGAAATGACAAGTGACAAAAATAGATATGGCTACACTCAAAATATCCAGCTGAGTCCCACAACAGGAAGTGTAATTGCTTCTTCCTGAGGAAAGTGGGATGAGGCTGCCTCCTGGGGAACACCCTCAGGGAGTTCAGATCTCTGTAATTCCCCTCTGGGTCAGGAGCATTGCCCTCTGAAGTCCAGCAGGAACCCTGGTGACTTCATGTTAAAAGGATCAGACTGCACACTGGTCAGCTTTGGTCATCACTTATTCATATGAATGTTAATATTTGTTAGTGCAGGCAGGTCTTCTTTTGACCTGAAGATTCAGTGGGAATCTGCCACATCATCAAAGAAAATGTCCAAAATAAAAATTGCACTGAGTGACCTCAAAATAATAACCTGTTAGCACGTTGTTTTGTGTACTTTCCTTTATTTGCTACTTACAAACACAACTCTGTGGACTATGTGGGAGACGACATTTTATAATCTTATTTTACAAATAAGGAGAAAGCAATTGAGTCCTCTAAGAACACAAAGAGAATGTGTGGTAAATCCATGGCCTGAAACCATACACATGTCTTTTTCCTGTTTTTTTGCTGTCTTGAAAAACTTTGGAACCTTTTGATTGCTATTTGCAATAGAGCTTCTCCAACAGTATCTGTGCATTACTCAAAGGAAGAATTTCTGATTTCAAACACACTATTCAGAATTGACTGCCTCTCATATTCAAGGAGCGAGGTAAGCTTCTATATTCAATATATACTTTTAGTGAAAACTATAGTCCATACAAAAGTAATAATAACATAAATCCTGAGTTTTTTGAGCACAAAGATAAGGGGTTTGAATGTTTTTCTAAAGCACTCTAGTGAAAATGTTATATATATTAAAATTCTATTACTGGAGAGTTTAATGAGATTTATGAAACATTAGCATGCTGCCATCTAAAAATATTAACAATAAATTATATAGATGAGGCTTTGGATAGGTGGGCCTTTAAATTTGTTTATCATCAGGGAGCCTCTTATATAAGGAAATAAATGAACAGAGGAAAAAGACCTTTCTTTAAACTAAATGGGCATCTTTGGTCACCAATGTTAATATTTTTCATGTATGCAGGTCTTTTTCTGACCTGAAGATTTGATAGGAATCACAACCATGGTCGAGGAAAACCTCCAAGATAAAAATTGTAAGACTTTTAGAAGATTAGAATTTCATTTTAACATCCCCTAAATCCCATAATCTGATCTTTATATTATTATTGGCCCACCTTCCCATGTAGACAGTGATGCAGGTAAAAGCAATGGCTTCTGATTAGGAATGAAACAGGGTTTAAATATCAAATCTTGAATCTTCTTCAGACTAGCTTTGAAATTATAGATGATCACTGAACTTCATAAATAACCCATTGCTTTCATGGCAAATAGTAAATGATAAAAATACCTACTTTACACACACAAACACACACACACACACGAGTCACATGCATATTTATATACAAAGATCTTTTCATATGTTGTGATACTAGAAGTGGTTTGGCAAACATCAGTCCTTATGGTCTAGGTTTGTCAGGTGTAGTTGTGCATGAAGCAGGAGGAGAATAATAGGAAATAGAAGTTGGCAGAGGATGGAGATACTTCTAAAGGCTCAAAATTCAAATAAAAAGATTTAAAAGTACTGTTGCTATTTTATAAAACATTCAAATAAAAATCTTCAAGCATAGACTTTCCACCAAAACAGAACTTCAGGCTAAAGGAAATCCAAAAACTATGAATTTTTGGCTCTCAAAATGTGCAGTTTAATCACGACATGGCAGAAATGAGAAAGAGAAAGACTCAGGCTGGAATACAGATTTCAAGGAAAACATTAGGAAAAAGAACAGCTCACGTGGAATCAACAGAGCAGCCAATCAGAAAGCCAGACCACCAAGGGAGTGCCTGTTACTGGAGGGTGCATAAAATCCATGAGGTTTTGAGACTTCAGACTGTGTCCAAAGCTGAAGGCCCATGTGTTGCCACCCTCATTTCTCAAACCACACACAGGCCAGGGTTCCTTCTGCACAAGAATAGTACAGCTAGGTGCTGGCCAGCTGTGCCAAACACATCACATTTCACTCATTTAAAAAAAAAACCAATGGATTGTCTCACAATAACATCTTGAAGTAGAACTAATTATCATTTGTGTGTGTGTGTGTGTGTGTGTGTGTGTGTGTGTGTGTGTGTGTAGATAAAGAAAATCTGGCTCAGGGAAGTCAGGTTAGTACCAGGATTCTGAGCTTGTAAATGTAGGTGGGACACGTGCCTCTGTACCAGGCTCTGTACCTGATGCTGTGTCCTCCCCTGCCAGAATCATCTATGCTGCTTATACACACCTCTGTGGCCCCAGATATCTCGTGACATCCACTACATATATTGCTTATTTAATTCATAGTGAAATTCCAAATTCTAAGCTTGCAGCAATGGAAACATAGAATCATTGTAAATTGCAACTTAATTTTATATGAATTAACTGGATAAACATTCTGTCAGAGTCTAAAATTGGTTTGAAAATTAATACTTCTATAAATATGAAGGTCTTACGCTATCTCTGGTGTGTCACAATCTAAATAAAAGTAACAACTATTCAACTTAATAAACTTGTGGAGAAATCAGGGAATATAGATGTAAAAGCATCTGGAGCAATTCCTGGCACATTAGCTGCACAGCAGTCTATGAATTTACTAGGACAGGAAAAGATAAACTGGTTAAATTAATAATTTCGGAATTGTCATGTTGGCTAATTCATTGAATTTTCAAAATTTCAGTTTATACATATATAAGATTTTTTAGATGGAGAGATGATTTCTGGTGACCCTTMATTCAACATCTTGAAGCTCTATAGATAGTAATTACACATAATATATTTTAAAACAACTAATAAATTTAATGGTAAAGTTCATGCTTTAGATATGGAGAATGTTGTAAAAAAATATTATTGTGATGTGTAATTCCTATAGTACAAAAACATGTCAATCTCACTGAAATCTCTGCTGCATTTTATGCTCTGTTCCTTCATTCTTCTTGCTTCAGGGTGTCCCCTGATTCTCACACAACTCTGATGGAGAACAGGACAGAAGTGACAGAGTTCATCCTCCTAGGACTCACYAGTGCCCCAGGACTACAGGTGCCCCTCTTTATCATGATCMCCCTCATCTACCTCATCAMTGTGTCTGGGAACCTGGGCATGATCCTGCTGATCCTCCTGGACTCCCGTCTCCACACTCCCATGTACTTTTTCCTGGGTAACCTGTCTCTGGTGGACATCTGCTACTCTTCAGCTGTCACTCCCACGGTCTTGGCTGGGCTCCTTCTAGGAGACACAGTCATCTCCTACAATGCTTGTGCTGCTCAGATGTTCTTGTTTGCTGCCTTTGCTACTGCAGAAAATTTCCTCTTGGCCTCGATGGCCTATGACCGCTATGCTGCAGTGTGCAAGCCCCTGCACTACACCACCAACATGACGACAGGTGTATGTGCTTGTCTCACCACAGGCTGCTACCTTGGAGGTTTCCTGAATTCCTCCATCCATACTGGGGACACGTTCAGTCTCTTCTTCTGTAAGTCCAATGTGGTCCATGATTTTTTCTGTGATGTTCCAGCAGTCGTGGTTCTCTCTTGCTCTGATAGACACATTAGAGGTATATAACTTGTTTATGGAGCCAGCCTGGTGATCTGTTCTGCTCTCCTTGTTATCTTGATATCTTACATGTTCATTTTTCTCACCATCCTAAAGATGCGCTCAGGTGCAGGATACCAGAAGGCTCTGTCCACCTGTGCCTCTCACTTCACTGCAGTCTCCATCTTCTATGGGACTCTTGTCTTCATGTACTTGCAGCCCAGCTCCAGTCACTCTCTGGACACAGACAAAATCGTATCTGTGTTTTATACCATGGTCATCCCCATGTTGAACCCTGTGGTCTACAGCCTCAGGAACAAAGAAGTGAAGAGTGCATTCAAGAAGGTTGTGGAGAAGGTGAAATATTCCCTAGGACTGTGAACGGAACCTGGTAGCATGCATGGTAACCTAGCTCCAATCCTCTCTGATGTTCTCCAGGCACCCAGTGAGGTTGTAAAGCCCACACTCATGTTAAATTCCAGATCTGATACCCTTCACTCTCAATCCTTTGTTTTTAAGAGAAAGGAAACAAATGTTGGAAATATAATACCTGAATGAGGTTGGCTAAAAGGAAATATACAATGTTGTTATGCTTGTTAAAAATGATGATTAAGGAGAATTGACTTATTTACTTTCCATATTCATCTCCTCTGTCATATTCCTTTACTAAAATACATAAAAAACAGGGCAAAACAACCCAATAACACAAGTGCCTCATGCAACTCATCTTGGCAGATACACATGAGAGTGAACTGTTATCTAGAGGTAACTGGTTGTTAGTGTTTACTTCAAATAATTTAATTACTTGGGATATTAAAATATCAACTTATGACTAATGTTACTTTCTTGATTAGTTGAGTAACTGTTTCAATGTAAATATGTGCTCATCTTATATTTTATTGAGAGACACAGAGCTAAAATATCTTAAATGAATTAATATTTCTGCCTTGACTGAGTCATCTTATAGAACCTATAGTTTTTCGTTACACCTTTCAAAGGGATAAAGTATTCAGACTATAAAATAAAAGTAGAAAAAATACAAGTATTTAAAGTTTATAATATGACTCCCAAAATCCACATTGTTTTATAAATGCTTTGGGGTATTGATGATGTTACGTCTTTTTCTCTCTGTAAGTGCTTTGGGATGCTGCTCATTAACTCTTAATTCAGTGGAGTCACATCAATGCCTGTCATTCTCACTCTTTGTCCCCAGGTCATTTACAGAGTCTCCTTGATATTTCTCCACCACCCCTGGTATGCTCACCTCAGGGTACTTGGGCTTGCTCTTCCCACTGTGTAGAAGTTCCCTTCACTACATTTGGGTCTCTGCCTAATTCCTGCATTATTCTTCCTAGTCCACACCACACTTTTCTATTGTAGAAGCAGAAGCATATAATTCGAGGAGAATGAAACACATAAGAAGTAAGGGTCTAAAAATAAGCAAGAAGAAAAAATATAGAAACAATAAATTCATTTGTGGCATTGAAATATTAAAAGAAATAAATGTAATTAGAATGTGATACCAAATGATGGCCATAACCTATCCAATCAACACAGAGGATAATGCCACTGATATAACAAAAAAATTGATGTTAGGGAGCCTTAAATTATTCTTGCCAAGCTAGTTGAGATGGAGGTATTTCTAAACAGGCATTCTCTATCCCTCTCTGCTCCATTATTCACATCTCTGGGTTTGTCCAAAGTCTCTCTCTGTCCACCATTGAACCCCAACCTTCTCCCATGGTCACTCATCTCAATGAGCAGCTACATTTCATCTGTTTTTGGTCTTTCTTGTAGAGATGCCAGTGGGTCCTGGGTGCTCCTTGTATGCCATCTTTGRCATTTTTCCAAATATTTTTGATCCAGTTTTTTAAATCTGTAGATAWGGAACCCACAGATACATAGGGCTGAAAGTATAATTTAATAATTTAATTCAATAGCAAGAAAACAACCCAATTAAAAAGTGGGTAAGAAAATTAACTACAAACTTCTCATGAGAAGAGAAA